CTAATATAATAGGATATCTATGGGTAGTTTATTCCTGGATTTTATTTACTAACTTGTATCTGTATTTTCCAAACATTTCACAATGAGCTTGTGTTATTTTTACAGTCAGAAACTATTTTTAAAAAAGTAAACAGTGCTGAGTACACATATGCACACATATTGCAATTTCTTTGAAATTATATAAATATGGCAATTTCTTTGAAATTATATAAATTTTAAATCACTAAAAATACTATCATTTGAAAACTAAATATTACATGCTGTTAAAATTTCTTAAGAAGCTGAACTATGTGTCTAGTTACCACCTGAGTGTGCCACGAAATTTCCCTTCATGCCAGTGTCAAACAGCAGAAGCCTGAGGCAAGATGGAAACAGAGGTCCGGTGATCCGTGCTTGAGCAGTTATATGACCTTGGGCAAGTCCAGGAAAAGTTCCATTTCTTACTGTGTAAAATGAGAAAGCTGAACTTTCTCATGACCACTAAGGTCTATGAACAGTTTTTCCCAAACAGCATTTTCTTACTTTCTCATGATGCACCTAGTACTTCTATAACTCTCTCTCTCCCAGAAAACCCTCCTGCTTGTCCTAAGAACTCAGTACTTGGTCTCTTCTGGAAAGCAAAAAGCATTTGTCTGGTCAACCATGGCCCAGGTGGGAAGTCAGATAACAAAAAGAGGCCGTATTGTTTGTGGCTAAAACAACAGTTGCTGGAAGAGGGATAATCTGTTTCTCCTCACCTAACTTTTAACTTCAGCTCGCTAGTCATGTCGCTCCTTTCTATTGCTGGGCATTGATCTCCACAGCCCTCTATGGAACACTTTCAAGCCTTAAAAAGCCATATGAATTTAGAAGATCACATATGTGACAGTACCCCAGAAGTGGGAAGCATCTATAGGCAGACCTTGTTTTATTGTGTTTCACAGATGTTGTGGTTTTTACAAATTGAAGGCAAGACCTGCCACCAGCAAAAAGGTTATAACTCACTTTATTGTAGTGGTCTGGAACCGAACCTGCAATATCTCTAAGATATGCCTGTATTTAAACATTAAAATGTGACAACTTGAAAAGGAAAAGGTGGCTTCTAAATTAGAAAAGAGGAGGTTCACATAACAAATCTCAAAACTTAGAGAAAGTATAAAGAATTCCAAGACTGGTAAAAATACTGTCCAGTTATAATAAAAATTAACTCCACTGTACAATGCCACTCACTGTAAATAATTAAAAGATAAAGGAACTGATGTACAAAAAGCTCATAAAAAAAGAGGGCTTCTGGGACAGTCCATAATGGAAGACGGCAGGTTTTGATGGGGACAGTGGTGGTATGAGGGAGGAANCCCCTGTGGCAGTGGGTTGCCATGGGCTACCGTGCGTGGCCAGTAGCCAGCATGAGTGGCTAGTAGCTGCAGTGAGCGGTTGTCCAGAAGCCGGCGACTGATCTGCCTCGCTCGGGAAGAGTGCAATGATGGTGCCAACATGGGCCAGTGAAGCAACGTCCTCCACAACTAGACTGAAGAACAAAAGGACAGCAACTTGTCTGTTCCCCTTCCCCCAATTCCCTAGCACTGATCCCATCCCCCCAATTCCCCAATAAAAAAATCTTTAAAAAAAAATCATAACTAACCCTGCTATAATGGACATCTTTGTACATACACAATTTTGTACATTTTTTGGAAATAAAATGTAAGTAATTTCCTATAAATGGAATTTATGGGTCCAGGGGTAGGCACATTTAACCTCTGATATTGACAAACTGTCTTCCATAAAAGTTGAACTTATTAATAGTCTCATCACCACTGTATACATTAGAACTAAAGTTTCATTTACAATTTCCATTCCAGGGAAATCTCACCCACTCTTATTTCTATACTCGATGAAAACAATAATGCTCAAAAGAAAGAATCAGTGGTTCTAATAACTTCCTAGCAAAGATTAGGCTGTTGATGGTCAGTGAAGGTTCCAATGGCTGAGTGTTTTTTAAAGTTAAAAACAAAAACAAAAATCAAGCAATAAAAACAAGTACACTCTACTTTACTACTTTAAGTATTAGAGCATATGCACTAGAGTCTAAGAGTATTCCTAGAAATGCATACATAAAATATATATTTAAACACCCAACAGTGACTTTGTAAAATCCAGATCGTTTTTAATAGTAATAAAAGGATGGTATGTTGAGAAATGCTCATTGAACAGTGAAAAGCTATTTCATATTCCATTACCATATGCCACAAAAAAGAAATATTCACATTAAGCCCACGCAGAAACTGGTATAATTTAAATTCACCTATTTTAAAGTGTAAATCTTTCTGTATCTGGCTTATTTCTCTTAGCATAATGTCTTCAAGGTTCATCCATGTTGTAGCATGTGTCAGAATTTCATTTTTTTGAGGCTGAGTAATATTCCATAGTATGTATATATCACATTTTGTTTTTCCATTTATCTGTCAATGGCCATTTGAGTTGTTTCCATCCTTTGGCTATCGTGAATAATGCTATGAACACCAGTGTACAAGTATGTGTACAAGTTGAGTCCCTGTTTTAAATTCTTTTGAGTATATACCTAAAAGTGGAATTACTGAATCCTATGGTAATTCTGTTTAACTTTTTGAGGAACTGCTGAACTGTTTGACAGCAGCTGTTCCATTATACATTCCCACCAGCAATTTCCAATTTCTCCACATCCTCATCAACCTGTTATTACCATTTCTGATAAGAGCCATCCTAATGGGCATGAAGTAGTATCTCATGGTTTTGATTTGCATTTCCCTAATGTCTAGCGGTGTTGAGCATCTTTTCAGATGTTTACTGGCCATTTGTGCATCTCCTTAGAGAAATGTCTATTCAAGTTCCATTTTTATCCATTTTTGAATTGGGCTGTTTGTCTTGTTGTTGAGTTGTAGTTCTTTATATATTCTTGATATCAATCCCTTATCAGATATTTAAGTTGCAAATATTCTGTCCCATTCTATAAATATTTCACTCTTTTGATAGTGTTCTGTGATGTACAAAAGTTTTTAATTTTGATGATGTCTAAGTTCTCTATTTTTTCTTTTGTTGTCTGTGCTTTTGATGTCACATCCAAGAAATTATCACCACATCCAATATCATAAACATTTCCCATGTTTTCTTCTAAGAATTTAACAGTTTTAGCCCTTAGTTTAGGTCTTTGATTCATCACGAGTTAATTTTTATATATGGTATAGGGTTTACTTTATTCTTTTGCATGAGGACATCTAGTTTTCTCAGTATCATTTATTGGAAAAGATTGTCCTCTCCTTAATGAATGGTATTGACACCCTTGTCAAAATTCAACTGACCATATATGTACATATATATACATGGTTTAATTTCTGAAGCAATATTAGTTTTGATAGTGCCAAACTGCTCTCCAAAGGGCAGGAAAAAGTACTCAAGGAAAGCAATCAGCTACCTCTCTGTGCCCCGAACTGTTGATGCCCTTCCTCAGGCTGGGGAGTGCTTTATAGTAAGATCCCACTGGGCGGACTGCAGTCAAAATCCATATATATATATTTAACTATGAGCACTGTGAATACAATGGTCTTAGAAATAGCATTGGATGATATCATAAAGTTACCTAGTTCCACAGTATAAATCACAGTAATTTTCCAAATTGAATTAAAAGGTCACTACTTTTTAATTTCATGGGAAAATCTGAAGATTCCATTACCTACCCTCTGACACATTCTTACTTCTGTAGTTTACAACTTTATTGTAAAGGGGAATATTTGTTCCCCTCCCTATCATTAACTATCCCTGGAATAAAAATTTCATTAGTGTTACTTATCGACTAGGGATGTTCTGTGAATATGTTTAATGTTTTGAAGCTCATGTTACAGAGAGCAGTATCCATGTCAGACTAGAACACAAATCTATATGAAATGTTTGATTCAGTGTGGAAATTTCTAGGTCCATAGCTGACTCATTCTCTCAAAAATCACATACTAAAACATCAATCAAGTATGAAGTTCTGGAAACACAAAGATAAAAATACATGATTCTTATTGTCAAGGAGCCAATGGTCTAATAGGCCAGAAGACATGCTAATACAAAATGATAAAACCTCGCAAAAGGTTTCCCATAGAGTATACTTAAACTACAGTCTCATTTATATGACCAAAAGTTTCCTTTTTCTAAGTATTAAGTTTTATCATACAAGACTCATAAGAATACCTTCCCTAATTTTCTTTCCTGCCAACCAACAATAATCAACCTTTCCTTTGAGCTACCACAGCTACCTTGATCTGTGTACCTTCTTACCGCTTTATATTTCATACTGTCATTATTTAAGTGCACCAAGTATCTTCCCCAGTTGACTTGACAGTCCTTGAGGAATCTATTTGATTTATCTTTGCTCCTCTATCATGTTTAGTATCAGCAAGAATTAAAATATTTATTTAATGAAGAATTTAGAACTCCAATATAGTAATTTGAAAATAGCATCTAAGCTTCAGGGATTAATGTAGCTTTAAATTTTTCCTGTCTACTCTTGGGAGAGCCTATTTAGTAGAAAATGTGGCTCCAATGGTGATATTTTTTTCCCCTCAAAGAAAGATATGTTCTTCTTACCATGTCATTCTTCCCAAGCTATTCATTCTTGGTTGAAACATAAAAATAAAGAAGCAGACTGAGCAAGTTAACCATAAAAATGGAATAATGGCAAATGGGTGAATGAAATATCCAGAAACATTCAAATGCAACTTACAAAGATAGAAAGTCATAAGAAAAAGGCTAGCTATCCTTTAAAAATAAATAGACTTGTTAGAAAAAACTGAGGGTAGGGGATAACTTTCTTTACGTGATATTGTTATAGCATTCTCTAAAAACATTAATTCGGATACAGCTGAAAATACTCATTTTCCAAAAATATACATGTGCAGATTTGAAGTTTCTGTTAAATGATTTTAAAATATCAAAAAATGTTTGATGGCTATATTAATCCTATTTTTTAATGCTTAAAATTATTTCAGCAAAAAACAACTCACCTGGATTTAAAGATCAAGACAACGTCAAGTAAAGTTATAACTGCTACACGGGGAAAAAATGGGAGAGGAGGAGTCCACCTGCAAAGAGCAAACACAGTGCCTGAAAACTGGACTGGTCCAACAACCATACAGACCAAGGTCTCCAGTGTGCAATTCAAACGCAAACAAATTACCATACCCTCCCTAGGCTATTCCACGGTTTGGAAATAAGTTTTTTAAATCAACATTCTTGACCACTGAACCAGGATTAATCATTACTGGCCCAGTGCATGCAATTTGCTGAAAACCTGAAATACAAGATAATTCATGAAAAAGAAAAGAAAAAGTGACCCATTAAAATTCTGAAGTAAAGGGCCGGCCGGGTGGCCCGATGGTTAAGAGCTGGCTTGGGACGCCAGAGGGCCCCGGTTCGGATCCCACATATGAGGGCCAGTGACACTGCCCTCCACAGCTAAGATGCTGAACAGCTCAACCTAGAGCTGGGCTGCTGTGGGTCGCTGGCGACGTCATAGGCTGCAGCCCCTGTGGCAGTGGGTTGCCATGGGCTACCGTGTGTAGCCAGCAGCCAGCGTGAGCGGCCAGCAGCCGCAGTGAGCGGCCGTCCTGAAGCCGGCAACTGATGTGCCTCGCCCGGGAAGAGCGCAATGATGGTGCCAACTTGGGCCAGTGAAGCAACGTCCTCCACAACTAGACTGAAGAACAAAAGGACAGCAACTTGTCTGTTCCCCTTCCCCCAATTCCCCAATTAAAAAAAAAAAAAGTTTAAAATAAAATAAAATAAAATAAAATTCTGAAGTAAAAAAATACACACACACACACGCGCACACACACACGTTGTGTGTGTGTGCGCGTGCGTGCGTGTGTGTGTGTATGCATTCTACTTTATGTCCTCAAAGTTTTAATAACTAGTTTAGATTAAAATTAAATTTTCTTTGGTTTATGAATATTAGACCCAAAAAAAAATCAAATTGTTTCACCATTAAGTGGAAGTTTTCTTATAAGTAATTGGATGATGGCAATTATTTACGTAGTACTTATTTGTCATTACCAAGAGAATTAGATGTGGTTCCTGAGTCTAAGAAGTGAAAAAAATGTATGGAAAAAAGTACTAGACAAAACTCAGTTATGAGTATATTATTATTATTATTATTATTATTGCATTAGTGTGCTAATTCTAAACTAAAATCCACATTCCATGTTATTCCAGAATATTTCCTGATTAACAACAGCATTTTAATTGAAATGAATTATCTTTCTTTTTTTAAAGCAAGAGGTTTTTTGCTAAAAAATTTTTAAATAAAAATATTTATAGGATTATTTCTCAGCTCACTTTCAAGTCACTTGCGAGACTGTCTGACAAACAAGCTGGCCTGAACAAGCAAAGCACTTGCACCAGTCAGACCTCCTGAATGCCTGGGCTCTTTGTTACCTTCTTGCTGCTGTGTTACCATTGCCCTCATTGCCTCCCTCCCCAGAAGATCATAGAGAGTTCTTTTACTATGATTATGTGTTGTATCACCTTATTCCTAATGCTAATGTGGTTCTAGCTTGCCCACAGGATAGGCAGCTGTTGTCTAATTATGGCAAGCTCTGGTATAAACAATAACGCCTGTAAGAAACAACGCTATTGAAAGACGAATACAGAATTCCTGACCTACGATGATGTAATCATAAAGTACACTTCCAAAGAATGAGGGCTCCTTTTGCAATACATCAAGTCATAAAATCTTCAAGGAAGAGATATTTCTAGATAAAGAATTTAACACAGAGTCCATGGATTCCAAGAGAATCCATGCATAAACTTCAGAAAAACTTGGATTCTCCCTAATTAAACACAAAAAATCGTATGTGCATTTTCTTGGGAGAGTCTATTGCTTTTATCAGGTTCTCAAGTGGTCTGTGACCCCCAAAAGAGTTTAGTTAGTGACCTAACAACATTGGGGATTTTAAGTCTGGTGTCAATGTTACCTGCCAATCAGCTGTAGGATATCTATCACAAGTAACTCGTTATTGATCAAGTACTCAAGTTTGAAATATTTGCTTTTTGAAATATATAATGGAGCAGACCCAATGTTATCTTTATATTAACATAACTTCTCTTTTACTTGCGCTTCTTGTAAGACAGTGAGCCATGGCAATGAAATTGCCCATCATTCTGAGCACACCTGTGGGAGTGTGCTGTGCATATGACCATGGTGTTGCACAAAATCCAGCAGAAAAAAGGTGGAGAACTGGTGATGTGAAACAACCCCCTCATTTTATAGATGAAGAAGCTTCGGTTCAGAAATTTTAAGTAATCTGTTCAAAGTCACACAGGAGTCCTGTTCCCTTCAATCAATGTAACTTCAGGCAGGGCTGGGATTCAGATGGATCCTACACTGCTATTTTCTTACTATGGATTGCAGCTATAAGAATGATTTTATAGCACCTTAGTATTTGACAAACTTCTGTCCTTGGCACACTCCTCTCGCTCTGCACCTTCATCTTGGACAGCCGCATCTGCCTTCACCACCCCAGCTACCATTTCTCCTTTCACGCACCAGACCTATACGGCCAACTGCCAATCCCCTATCTCCCGCTGCTGCCCCACTCTCTCAGCCTGCAAACACTGAAAAGTAAAATTCACATTACCCTCACATTCTTCTACAGAGATACAGAGATTTGTCCCAATTTTCTTTCTCCATGCCAGAAACCCAGCAATTTCTTTAGCTTCACTTTCACCTCCTGCATCCAGGTAGGAACCAATTCTGTCTGATTTGACCAGTTTTCCTCTCAGGTGAGTCTCTTTCCCTCCATCCTAGATTACTGATTTCAGCCACTCATTTTCTTCCTTCTGGAATATTATACTAATCTCTTTGCCTTCAACATTTCTTCCTCAATCTACTTTCAATACTGCTGCCAAATGAGAGTTTAAAAACAAAATCTCACTACATCACTCCATTCCCTATACATCCTTCAATGGCTCCCCATTTCCCAAAGAATAAGTTCAAATTCCTTAACAGGGTATGTAAATTTCTCCATGATACAATCTTTGCTATAAAACTGTCTGCTTTACACTGCAGTGGAATAATGAGTACTTAAATTTGCAATTAACTACTAATTATGGATGATAGCCATTAAAAAAAATTACTGTACAAGTATACATATACTAATGGTTAAACTGGATGTGTGCTGTGTAACCCTGCCAGTGTCAATTTGTTCAATCATGTTTCAGTTAAGCCAGACCATTAATCACCTCTCAATCTTGGCAAAAGTTTTACATGATCTTTCTTCACTAGGTTGAGAAAAAAGCCACATCGCATTTTTCACTGAGTCTCTTCTCACCCAAACCTCACTTAAACGTGTCTTTGGCAATGTCTAACATCTTATTATAAGATAAAGGTTGGAGATGTGTGAAAAAATTAACTTCCTAAATGATTTACCTAAAAGCAGCGTTGATATTTATGGTAGGCAGCCTTTAAGATGCCCCCTAGTGTTTCCACCCTCCTGGTAGTCACACTCTTGTACAGACCCCTCTCACACTGTATCATGATTGGTCTGAGAACAATAACATATGACAGAAATGATGACATGTCTGCAAGATGTGGCTTCCATCTTGGATATTTTCTCCTCTCTCTCTCTCTCTCTCTCTCTCTCTCTCTGAAACACACCCACATACCCCACTTGTTCTGGGAGAAGCCAGCTGCCATGAGTTAAGGACATTCAGACAGCCCTGTGGCAAGGCTCTTGCAGGAAAGAGATGTCTCTCTCCAGCTCATGAGGAAGTGAGGGGTGCCAACAACAAGTGTGTGAGCTAGGAAGCAGATTCTCCAGCCCCAGTCGAGCCTTCAGATGACTGAAGTCCCAGCCAGCAGCTTGACTACAATGTCAAGAAAGATCCTGAGGGCCGGCCGAGTGGCATGATGGTTAAGAACTGGCTTGGGACGCCAGAGGGCCCCGGTTCGGATCCCACATATGAGGGCCAGTGACACTGCCCTTTACAGCTAAGACGCTGAACAACAGCTCGACCTGGAGCTGGGCTGCCATGAGTCGCAGGCGACAGCGTAGGCTGCAACCCCT